CTTAACCAGTCAACAACCGTTAAAACCAGGCAAAAAACAGTAGAATTTTTCAGTTTTTATACAAATTACAAATTTTTTGAAGGAAACATGAAAAAGTTTTGCTTCACTGATAGCTCGTCACACAGGTTTCAAACAAACGATTGTTCCACTAAATTTGATTTCAAAAGATGAAAACGTTCTTTGAGCAAAAGAAAAAATTCTGAAATTGTTGGTAAAGGTAAGGTCAAGTTTCGCATGAAAACCAGTGACCGTCAATTCGTAACAATAGAGATTAAAGATACACTGTTTGTACCTGCAAACACTGCCTTTTCAGTGTCTGTTTAGAAATTTCCAAAAACAAGACATATAAGTCTTTTATTGAAAACTGTCCGCGAATGATTTTTCCTGGTATATCTGAAATTGATCCAAAATGAGAACGAGATCTTTTCAAAATGCCAATAGGAAGTGTAAATCAGAATACACCGAAAAAAATAAAACTGTTTGCTAAAGATTTGGCATAATAGACTAAGTTATAATAATATTGATGATTTCCAAAAGTTGGAAAAATTTACCGCGGGAGTAAGTTTAAACAAAAGAAACAAGCTATCTGTATTGAGTGTCAAACTGAAAAAGATAAACAGAAAATAGTATCTAAAACTTGGGATAACAGGGCTACTGAAAAGCTAGAAATTGATCATACTGATATCGTGGGACTAATTGATACTTTTCACTTCAGGCTGTGTGTGTATCAGACAACGAAACTTCTGAAAAAAACTCTTTTCTATTGGAAATGATCAATGTTTTGAGGAATTTTGGCAGTCAGACGCTGTTGTTTACGTAGATAACTTGCCCTTAATTTTAAGAGAGCCACTAACGAACCCTGATTGGATAAAAACAATGAAGGATTTAAACAGTTTTCTTATATACAATAATGTTTGGGATTTGTGTAAAAAACTGATCAATTTATTTCGGGTGGTAAACTGCATTTCCCTGTTAAGTACAACATCGAGGGTAAATTTTCAAGATAACTCAATCGATCACGAGTTTTTGTTAACAACTCAACCCGATCGGAAAATGTTCGTTACCGTATTTCAACAACTTCTCCGTTATTTTCAATCTTTAACCGTTTTTGGGTCAGCGCGATTGGAGTTGAATTTTTTTTCCAGAAATCCACGTTTCGGAGCGTTCAGTTTTGAGGGGCAATCAAGAAAACTTCTTGAAAATCCTTAGTCCTCAAGGAGGGTTGAATAGCTCAACTAAATTTGTTTTGAGCTGTTTGCACACTAAAGCGAAATTCTTTTGAAACAAAAACGGAAGGTTAATTACCCTCCGATTAGAACGTTTCAATCTCAAGCCTCTTGTCATGAAGCGGAGGAGACTTACCCTCCAGATAGATATACCTGAAGTAAGTCAGACCCGATAAAACCTATTAATAAAGTGACTGTAAAAAACGCCGCTTATGACCTGAGTCGAGATTTTCACCTAATTGAAACAAGATTTGAGCGGTTTGAGCGGTTTTTTAGACAATTGCTCGCAAAATCTTGCTTCATAATGAGCGGTTTGAGCGGTTTATGAGTGGTTTATCTAAAACAACCACTCAAAAACCGCGCACGGTTTGAACGGTTTTTGAGCGGCTGATCTTTGAAAAAATGCTCAAAAACCGGGCAAGGTTTGAACGGTTTTTGAGCGGTTTTTCCAAATAAACCGCTCAAACCGCTCTTTATGAAGCAAGCTTTTGAGCGCAATCGTCTAAAAAAAACCGCTCAAACCGCTCAGATCTAGCTTCAAATTAAGTGAAAAATCTCGACTCGGGTAGAAAACCATTTACAAAATTCACTTTTTGAAAAGAACTCATAGATTGCAGAAATTCCAGAAAATATTAGTTTACGGTGAGCAAATTTTCCTGAAGATCACTATTATTCCTGAAGATCACTATTATTCCTGAAGATCACTATTATTCCTGAAGATCACTATTATTCCTGAAGATCACTATTATTCCTGAAGATCACTATTATTCCTGAAGATCACTATTATTCCTGAAGATCACTATTATTCCTGAAGATCACTATTATTCCTGGAGATCACTATTATTCCTGAAGATCGCTGGAAATTTTTCTTGAGCACTTGTTTTTAAGTCGCAACATGGGTCGCGCAAAGCTTAAGTAATCGAATTGTTGTCGGATTTTTTTGCTTGCATAAGCGTTATACAGATGCAGATTGCAAAATAATCCAGTATATATGTGTTTTTGATGTGCAGTTAGCAAGATCAACATATTTGCTGCTGACATACAGGACCGCCACGAGAAGGCCTACACATGGTCCATGACTTTCACCAAAAATGGTCTTGTTGTGCGGCGAGTCTTTCTTTTTACTACCGCCAGCGTCATACTTTTAAACTGTTAGCTGAATGATGTTTGGAGTACATTGAAACAAAGTGAACATATTATCTTAGGTGGAGCAGTTTTGTGCGCTTGTACCTCGAGCACTGTCGAAAATACCGAATGTCCCGCGGTAATTCAAAACCGATTGTCCCGCGTCCGCCCCCTTTAAATCCGCCCCTGAGTTTGAGGTGTAAAAACAAGGTACTTACGTTCTGGTCAGACAAGAAAACTTTAAAAAAAAACTAGTTATAACTAGTTTACAAAATCTCGCACGTTAACAAATCGTTTATATTATCTCGCAAAAAAAAATATTTATTTTTTTTTCTCTAAAAATGAGAAATAATTACACTATTTGGACAGAGTTTAATAAATTTTAATGGACAAATTTTTAAATTTTTAAATTGGAGGTCAAAATTTTTCTGTAACTGAAACGTTGTCTCATAAATTTATTGAAAATTATGAATGATTTCGTTGCCCAAGGTCAACGATTTCACAATCAGTTTACCATTGACTATGAACCGGAAATGACCACTTTCGGGCTAGTTACTCAGACAACATGTATGTCTCAAGTTTAGCTGAAAATAGTTCGAGCTTGCGGCAAGTAACTTGTCTACGCCTTCAACTCGGACTTATAATCTGTCATTATGTTGCAATTTCCAGTCCAGAAGCAGAATGTAACGAGATTTTGAATGGCTCATATTTTAGAGCTTTTTCACATTGTTTTTCTAGCTTTGATTTTTCCTGAGTTCTTTGATTTTCATTTTCATTGGCTAGCTACCCAGTCACCATATACCGCTCCTCAACCTTCCCCTGACTAAACACCATCCCTATTTCCAAAGTTCTTGAAATGATTTATAAGATCATGGTATATTCATATCTTAGGGCACAAAACAATTCAGTTGTTTATTAGCTCAAAATTTTCCCCAATTTGTGTGAGTTTTGGGCTTTACTACGGCAATCTACAGAATTTTGTTGTGATATGTTCGTAAGGAAGCAGCACAACCAACTTTGTGTAAATTTGGTTACCTTAGCCATATGTTTCGATTCAATTCTTTTGTTTCAAAATGTTCATTTTTTGGCCAGTTTAATAGTAAGTTTAATTTTAAATGTTCAGTTATTTTTTTTTTCGATGAACCTTTAGTGTTTTTTGGAGGAAATAAGCTTGCAGATTTAGATTCCTCAATCTTTAATAAAAATCATTTGTGTCACGGTGACTTCTGTGAGAATATATTTTTGAAAAACAAAAATAGCTTCCAAAAAAACCTAATTAAAATTTTCCTAGAGTAAACTATAGTGGCAGTTCGTATGATGCCCGTCTAATGAAGTTTGCTGATATAGCGAACCTACTGGAAAGAATATTGGATAGTGCTTTAATCGCCGTCCAACAATTCATTTCGAAAAATTATCGTCCATATTCGTTTAAGAGTCAAATACTTTGGTGGAAGACGTGAAATGACAACTGCATAGGCGTCAGTAATAAAAATTTTAGCAAACGGAGGCCCCATTTTAATAGTTTTCGACAAGGAGTTTGTTGTAATACTTTGAACAGATTTTAAAATAATTTTTCTTTTCCGTTAACCATCATTCATTGCTTTTCTTTGATTTTTGGGCGCCTTATTTTCGCTTTTTACGTTGTTGATACTCAATTTTAGTAGCAGAGCTGATGGCATGAATTCCCTTAGACATACATTTCAATTCAGTCGTTTTGTTTCAAAATGGTCATTTTGAGTTGGTCAGTTTAATAGCCAGTTTAATGGTAAGTTTAATTTTTAACGGTCAGTTTTTAACGGTGAGGAATTCTTTTTTCAGGTGATAAGCTTGCAGAATTAAATTTTTTAAATTAAAAAAATATCATATGTGTTACAATGACTTCTTTGCACACAATGTTTTCAAAAAACAAAAATAGCTTCCAAAAAAAAACGATCAACAAAGTTTTTCTGGCGTAAAATATAGTGGCAGTTCGTATGATGAGTGTCTAATGAGGTATCCAGATTTAGCAAACCAAGTAGAATGACTTTTGGATGGTGCTTTAGCGTCCGTCCACCAATTTTTTTCAGGAAACTCTCGTCCATGTTTGTTTAAAGTTGGTACTTTGATAGAAGACATGACATGGCAACTACATGGGCGTCATAAAGAAAAATTTAGCAAATGGATGTCCCATTTTAAAGTTCTTTTTAACGAGACGAGTATTTGTGCCCCAATGTCCTGACTAAAAGGGAGGAAATTTTTCCTGTCATAAAACAAGGGTAATTATTTATGCAACTAATTGATGCAGGAGTTCATTGTAAAACTTTACACAGATTTTAATATAATTATTCTTTTCGATTAACCTTCATTCATTGCTTTTCCACCCTCTCTTCAATTTTTGGGTGCCTAATTTTGGCTTTGTTTGTTGTTGATACTCAAACGCATACGGTTCCTGTGAACAGATGTAACAAAAAGAAAAAAGTTTTATCACAGCATCCATCCGAAACATTTGATCAAAAATTTTATCATAAAAAGCTCAAAATTCTGAATCATGCGATACGCAATACCTGAAATACCGCTTGGACGTCGTCCCAATTCGCTTTGACGCAAGTTCTGCAGATCATACCAGTTTTGTGATGTGTTAGAGACAGTTCATATAGACTCGCCTACTAATTCATTCTGATGAGTTAATTGGCAAGTATAAATTGTTTCACAAGTGTATGGCTGAGTTTTAGGCTCTCTTTTATAGCTTATAAAAAAATCAGAATAGCTCAAAACAATCCAGAAAAAGTTTTCGTGTTCATAGACCATTTGGAGGAATTCTTGGATCTGTGGTCCAGGGCTTAAACACATTATTTTGATACTTTGGATTCCCCAATGCATCGTATCCCGGAATCAGAGGATCTACTTGCAATCCTTCCCAATACTCAACTCTCTTCAACAGATCTTCTTTGACCTGTTTAAACTGCGGCTCATCCACTAGGTTGTAGTACTCACAGGGGTCACTTTCGATGTCAAATACACACTCGTCCAGTCCTGTGATTTTGGAGTGACATTTGGTGTCGATGTCGGTCGGCACTTCTCCACACCATATCTGGGCCTGTGTGGTGTTTGGCAACATTTCTTCAAAACTGAAAGGTTCGTCCCCTGCTGCTTTGAACCAGTTGTCGTAACTAAAAATCAGGCGATCTGCTCTCAACTGCCTCTGCTAGCATGAGTTTAATTATGTATCATTGAACCTTAATTGACTCAGAAATAAGGATTATTTGCTAGGACAGATTGGTAGGATTGGTAGGAGTTCTACGTATTTAGCAATATTTTCCCGGGATCTTTTGATTTTTACAGGTTTTAGTGTCCATCTTCTGCTCACACTATTCAAGTGTGAGCAGAAGATGGAATAGTGTGAGCCACTTGTGTTTTTTGAAGTCGGCATCTTGAAAAGTGCTCAAGAAATATCCTTGATAAATAAAACTCAGCTGATAACTTTTCAGCGTTTTCCTGATAACTTACTCAGCGTCCCATCGATCGTATGGATTCAATAGGTACTTGTATTTGCCCACTTTGATAGCCTTTGAGTTGAGAACCGGGTTCAAATTAACCAACACTTCACTCCGAGGACACGTTCTGTTCACTCCAGTCAGCACTGGCCACAAACTATGACCGTCTATGTCGCCTAGTTTGCCAACTGAACCACCCGCAGCCTCGTACAACGTCGGCATCCAGTCACTAACATGCATCAGGTCCATCGAAACCTCTCCCGACCTCTTTTTGAACACATCCCCCCACACAAACCCGACGCCTCTGGCACCTCCCTCGAAGAAGTATCCCTTGCCCGCTCGTAGGGGGAAGTTGCTTCCATAGTTCGAATCATATCCGTTCGGAGCTCCCCCGTTGTCAGTGCTGAACACAATGATTGTGTTGTCCAGCACTCCTCGAGACTCTAGAGCTCTGTAGATATTGGAAACTGCCACGTCCATTTCGTAGACATTTCCCACGTATTTGCGACGACGGTTGTCCCAAATGTACTGAAAATTTTCAAGTATTCCAAGTAACTTATAATAACATAACAGCAGCCTGAAACATAACCAATTTTCTGCAGCTTGTAAAACATTCAGACACCAGCAAAAACATATTTGACTTTCTACAGTTTCTAAAAACATTGAGGAAAAATTCAAAAACTTAAGAACAAATAAAAAGTAATTCATTGTATTAATTAATTTCCTTTTTCGAGATAAAAACGAGTACCGGGAACTGGAATTCGGTGTCCTGTGGCACTTGGAGTGGATCTGTCAGGTAATTGGCAGTGTGGACACTCTGAAAGGGGACATAGAGAAAGAGAGGCTTGGATTCGAAGTCATGTTGGGCTATGATTCCGCCTGCTCTCCTGGCGAACACTCGAGTACTGTACACACCAAAGTCAGAGTACACATCTGTCAGGGTCATGTCTTGGTCGTAGTGCCAGTCCAACCCCCACCAGTTGCGGTCAACAGGGGGACCTAAAATGAATGACAAGTTTGATGTGTCTCTTTTTTCATTACAAATACGACTTCGTTTATACTTCCTGTAAAAACAAAAAAGGGGTTTTGGAAGAAATTGGATTATAATTCAAAGATTCTCAGGAAAACAAATGTAATTAGAAATGTAATTAGTCTCTGGAAAACAGCTTAACAAGGACTTTCAAAAAAGGTTTTGGCATTCTTTCCCTGCTCGTGAAACATAAAAAAACACCTATACAAGATGTAGATTCAAAAAGTTAGTGTTGCTCGTCTCAACATGCTGTTCAATATTAACTTTTAACCCTCGTAATCATGATGGTCGAAGTAGTCATTGTGTCCCATGTAGTAGCCGTAGAATGATTTGAACCCTCGATATGTAGGCGTGTAACTGAAAAGAATCAAAGGATCAACTAGTATCAATATAGTTAACATTGGTCTTCTTCGTTATCTCACTGTCTCAATCAAAACTTTAAAAAACAAAACAGTTAAAAATTGCTTCCTTGGGAAGATCAAGCGCTCGTATTTAAACACGCATTTAGGGTCGATTTTGAATCAATTATTTTAGTGAACCGAAGGGTCATTTTAGGGATCTCAAAGGCTGTAAACAGAGGTTTAAGCCACCAAGTAAGTTTCATACTTTCGGTGGAAAAAACCGAGATGCCATTTTCCCACAATATGACTCTCATATCCCAAATCGTTCAGATACTCCGGCATGAGTTTGTAGTTCAGCGGGACACCCAGACGTTGCCCTGCTTCTATGACGTAGTACTGCAACCCGGTGCGCACTGGATGCCGTCCGGTCATCAGTGCCGCCCGACTCGGTGTGCAAAGTGGACTGACGTAATAGTTGTTCAAAATGACTCCCTCGTTCGCCAGCTTGTCCAAAAAGGGGGTCTTGACTTGGCGACTGCCGTGGAATCCAATGTCGTTCCACCCATAATCGTCAGCGAGGAGGAAAACAATGTTCGGCTTAGGTGTTTGGCACGATGACAAAATGACCATTTGAATTAGAAGAAAAACCAAATTTAGTGTGCGCATTTTAATGATTTCGATCGAATTCAAATTACACAATTTGTAGGATGGAGCTTCAGTGTTCGCTTATGCAATTATCATCGCATAAATTGTTCTGTTTTAGTAAATGAATTGATCACCGAGTAAATTATATATTTGATCACAAATATTAGGCAATCCGTGACAGGCCAACAAGTCGAAGGGCCAACAAAACGAAAACTTAAATAACCCTTTCAAAACTTATATCAGCAGCGCATGATGGCTAAAAGAAAACTGTTAGTTCGCATAAATTATCTGAATACTTATTTAGTCAAATGACAAGCCACTCAAAGCAGTTCGAAGATCCTAATTTTTTGAAATTTGATGTTTCAATAAATTAACTTGATGAACTATTGCGTCGAGTTTTTCATATTGTTCTTTTCGGTATTTCATTGCACCAGTTGATGTTCAACAAACCGTCATACCAACAGAACAATGTCTAGAAGCCAAAAAAATTATAGTACTAACCATTTTTGGCGAACAAAATGTTAGTGCAAACTAATTTTGTTACTGTTGTTGGTAAGGCAATTTCTATGGTTAAAATGGTGTTTAAAAACAGATTTAAACACCATTTTAACCATAGAAATTGCATTATCAACAACAGTAACAAAATTAATTTGTTCTAACATTGTTCACCAAAAATGGTTAGTACTATAATTTTTCGGCTTTTCGTTTCAATTGCAATCAAGACTGCTTAAGTGGCGAAAAATAGCGAATGAACTTTTTTAACGAGTTGGTAGAATGGTTAGGCCGACAATTCGGAATAGGCGACAATTCGTAACCAGGCATTGGCAAGTAGAATACACTTGCTCCGCTTCGTTCCGCTACGCTTACATCCGGCACGAGAGGAATATTGCGCGTGGATCAGTATTCCTTAAAGCACTTAATTAGCATAGTGGTAAGGCGTTCACTTTGAGATCGTCAGATCGTGCAACTGATCCCCTGCCATGGCAATCATAGTGCGCGAGTACGAGCTCTCACTTGACCTCTAGCTTCAGGTCTACCACGGCCTGACCGATTACGGCTGCAATAGTGGTACCACTTGAAAGCTCTAGACGCAAAAAAAGGCCTTGAGTCGCAAAACGCACAGAAAGAGCTTCGCTCAACAAAATAACTCAGTAGTCTGGAGTGTGGGAAAATAAGAGAAACGGAATATGCTTAGAAGGCTAAATAGCCTTTCATAGATCGCAGAAAACACAATTATTCCCCGCTTAATCTACTGTTACGAATTTTCGCCTCACAGGTAGAATGATTGCTCCCTGGTGATCTCAAAAAGCACTGAAACGATGGTAACACCCATTCTTACGGTAGGAATGAAATCAGCAAGCTCTGCAGCTTCTAAGAAGGTGACCGAAACCCTACCAGTGCTACTTTGGAAATAAAAACAGTACCCTTGATGGCAGTAAAATTTCAACCCTCCAGAATGAATGACGGACGATGTAGAGCAATTGGCTTTTCAACAGCCGTAGAACACGACCGGTTAACAGTACCGGACACTAGAAACTTATCGGGGTGGAATAGGTGGAAACCATGGAGCAGCTAAAAAGCCTACCTTGGAGATCAGTTTTGAAGCATGATTTTAAAAAAGAATTGAGATCACTAGCCGAATCCACGACCTGGTAGCTGGCAGCTCCATTTCTCCGAATTACGTCTTCGCTTCACTTGTTGTTAGCGTAAATGACTAAGAATGAGTATGATTAAGATGATTAAGAAGAGAGGGAAAGATCCAAGAAGAGAAAAATGCTCTGATAAAAGTGCCAATGGGTCCGATAATGATATTATAAGACTTAATTGAGGTTCACAGAGCGAAGTTAAGGTTGCACATGAAAGAACCAAAAGAATTGGAGGCTTTGAGGAATTTTGATGAAATCAGGCAACTCTCAAATAAAGAGCTGAGACTTGTTGACGAATCTCAAAATCTAATAGTGAATGTGAACTTGAACTTATACAAGCCGTTCTAACAACTGATTACAGTTGTTTGAATGGCCCGCAATCCATTAATCAATGACGACATGTGGGATTTTCAATCCGATATGATCATGCAGTGTTGAAGTAATAGGATAATGACAATCAGGGAAAGGACTAGCAAACGGATCAAGCCAAGTGTTTGTTGGAGGAAGAAATTGAGGATTTTTAAATATCCAACTTGCATTATTAGGGGGAATTATGGCTAGAATTTCGAGATGAATTTCTCGAGAAAAAAACTAACAGCAGTGTCGCAATCGTTGAAACACTCCTGGTTTTGGAGTCTTGAAATGATATGGAGAGCTACAACTGATGTGAAAACAAACAAAACGCGGACAGCATTTTGCACGGTTAAAACACGGTGTACAACTTGGTGACGATAACCTGCAATTTCCAGTCCGATAGAAAGTTGCATTGCCTGGGTGAAGATCTGATGACTGGAGAGAACCAGGAAAATGCGTAACAATTGCTTGTGGCCAAAAAGGCTTGTATGCGATAAACTGAACGGTGTGAAGACAAAACAAGCAGTTTCAGTTTAAGTCCATGAATTATTGATGATTTGCAATGATTTGTTGATTTCGTTAAGAGTGAGACTACGTGAATTCTCAACTATTCATGAAATAGGAATAGCGAGATGGGGTTTGACTTCTCTGTGTAAAGCGCCCAGTGACTAGGACTCGTATGTGGGTTCAATATCGAGTTGGCCATTGTTCTTCTTCAATGGGTACCTTTGCTGCGATGTTGGGTTCATACTTTAAATCATGTGAGGGTTGTGGCTACGGCAACAAACCAATAGGTTTGCAATTCCAGAGTCGGAATGTCATGGAGTTTTCATCTCCCTTTGCGGCTCGTTTATTTTGCTCTAAGAAATCTTTATACATTGCAAATTTAAATCTTCACCTTGATAGTGAGATCAGTTTTAGCTGTGATTTTTATTAGTTGTTTTCGCAAAAGCCTTTTATTTTGTGTCGGTTATTTTAAAGATTCGCTCACCATAGAGCTAGTCTCATCGAAAATGAGAGTGCGCGTCTGAAGCGTGGTGTAGCGCGGGCGGTGAGGCCGGCTTTAGAGTATGCTCAAGACGTCCTTTACTGTTGGGTCAGGCCAGTTGAGGGAGTATAATTTTACCGTATCTTTGAGCAGAGTCTCTTTTTGTGTTCAACTTTTTTTACCCAGGTGCTTTTCTCTTTTTTGTCTTTGATTGTGTCCTTTCATCCAAATCAGATTGTCGTGTTTTGTGTTTTTTGAGTTTATAGTGTTTCAAGTGTTTTTAATAAAACTTGAATGTGGGTTTCAAAAGAATAATTTGTCCAGTTTTAATCTGGGTTTAATCTGGTTTGTGTACCATGAGACTTTCTAATACATGCGGTTGGTTTTGTGGTATTAAAAACTGCCTTGGTTAGTTTAATCATATTTATAATTCCTTCCGACCCTTTGAGGGAAAGTTTTGAAATGCATAAAAGCAAGTTAAAGTTGTTATCAGTTAGTTTCTAAAACTTGATTTTTTTATTGGACAATTCCATGAGAACGAGTTGCATATTTTGCGTGGAAAGAGTGCGTGAAATGTGGGCGAGTGAGTGACAAATATTCTGATTTTATATAAGGAGCGCACATAAAAATGTGAGTTTTCATTGATTTACTTTTCTTTATTAGATTACGACTTCATAATTAAATTGTACTACAAAACTATCAATTTAATGCATTTGTTTTGAATTGTACTGCACTAGAATAATTAATGTTACATAATTAGATTTCACAAAAAAAAGTTGAAAAAATTTATTTTAATTTTATTTTTTTAGATGAATGCTGGTGAAAACTAAAAACAAAAAGCGAAACACACGTGTAAAAATTGTGAGTGGTTTATGTTATGTGGCTGATGTTAGGGTCAATGTCGTATGGTGAATCTTCCATATATCCAGTGACAGTGTGGTCATAGTGGTTAATAGCGAATCGATCAGCTTTTTGTGCAATGAATCGGTTTATTGTTTGATTTAAGCCTATGGTGGTGAATTGATTTAGGTTAAGTGTAGTAGTTAGTTCTCGAAGGATAGAGTCAAAAAGTTCGTTGTCATCGGGTTTGTTAATTAGGGGTCTTTTAGTGGTCTAGTAAATTTATAGTAAGATGTCGATGAAAGTGTTGGGAGTAGGCAATGTGCATTTACGTATTGCGCGCGTTGGGCTTGATTATAGTAGGTATATTGAGGAAAATAAGAGGTTATGTTTTATGAAAAATATAGTAGGTTATGTTTTAAGAAGTCTGGTGTTTTAGTAAGGTAGTGGAAATCAAATCAAGATAATTGTGGGCAGAAATTGTAATGAGGAAATCGTCGTGTTGGAGATTGGATGGATAGGAAAGGGAATGGTTGAGAGATCCAACTTGTCGGCTCATCGTGGGCTAAAAAGATGATCATTCTGAGAACGAAAATTGAGGTGTGCGGTTCTTCTACACTTTGTGTATGTGTGTCGTCGACAGTTGATTGTTGAAGTGCTCGATAAGATATGGGGCTACGTTGTAATTTACTAGTATGTATTATCCGTTCGGAGGTCGAAAATGTAATTGTATAACGTGTATTTGTATAAGTGGTACTAATCATAGAGGATGGTTATTGCGTAAAGTGTGTAAATGTGATGGTGCTGTAGGTGTCGTATTTGTATTGTCTTGTGAATTATCATATGCGTTTGGTTTTGTAGAAGATTTTTATTGTATTCACTCATTTGTGCGTCAAAAAAGATTTTTTCCCCGAAAAATCCTGCAAATAAAATGCGGAATACGCAAGCTTGTCTATCGTTTGTGTTTGTAATGCGCATGTAGTACAAATTCCTTTTGATAATGAGAAACATTGCTAGACAGGTTTTGTTGATTTTTTCTTCCAGGTTGTTGACAGTCCTGTTCCGAATGAAGTTGTCGCGTTCGTTGTTTTCAATGCAGACGTTACAGAGTAACATTGCGTTGCGACCAAGCTCCTTTATTCCGTTGATGGCTACGTTTGATAATCCTTTGCATGTTGGTTCTAGATGCATGTGACAACCACACGCTACACAGTTGTAACTTTTTTCGGCTTTCGGTATGGACCTGGTGCAAGTTCGGCATGTGCAACTCATCGTTGAAGAGTTAACAGAGGGGGACTCTACAGAGGGATCTGTGATTCTCGAGAAGAGAAGGTACGATGCCTTCAGAGAAATAGGCAAACCTGTGGATCCCGAAAAGGGGGCGCCTGCGGTTTGATATTTCTAGAACGTTCGATGGGGTCGGAGAAATATACAAACCTGTGGATCTCAAGAAGGGGACGCCTGCGGTTTGATATTTCCAGAAAGGACAGAGGGATGTACAGCTCACAAACCTGCAGCTTACACTCAGTAAAGGCAGTGGCAGTGTCGGAAGGTGCACTCGTACTGGGTGAGATGACCTTCGTCGTTGAAAGCGTCAGAGTATTTCTTGTACAGTATCTTGTTGAGACATTCTTGGCTTAAGTAAATTTCGTCACTGCCTAGATGGTAAGTACTGTAAATCTTCTCACACTATACTTTCAATTTCCCTTCTTTTTCTGTATTTCGCGATTCACTCTTGCCAATCGGAATCGATATTCACTGCGGTGAGGGATTCCGATGACAAAAATCTGCTTCGCTAGTCTGCTTAGCTCCTCGGCTAATTCTGCGAGTTCGTTTGCAATATCTTCTTCAGGGACCGTGGAGGGCTCTCTTCCGTCAAAAGCGTCGTTTGCCCCAATGAGCAAAACAATGGTATTGTATTTGTCCTTCGGAGGTAGGAAGCTTCTGACCGCAGCGATACGGGCTCCAGGTAATAACAAGATGTTTGTGTTTGAGAATACCGAGTGTCACGCCTGCGAATCGGATATCTCCTGGTTGACATTTAGAGCGAGGCAACCATTGCTACCTCGAGAAATTCAAATTTATCTGAAACTATTTAATAAGAATTTTTTAAAATTGTTATTTCAAACGTTTTCGCACATTTTGTGCATCAAAGATCATGTATGAAATTCAAAAAGAACATGTTAGAAATTTTTAACCAATCACATTCTTACATCTGTTATTACGTAATCATTATTTCATCGATTATGACAATTTCCATACTTTTTTGTTACTTGAGTCATAATTTTTCGATTTGATGTTTTATCCAATCTGACATGTCAGTTTATTTTTTCAAAAATTGCAATTTTTAGTCATGTTTAAACATGTACTATAATTTTAATGTCAGCTCCCTGCTCCTGAATTCCTCGCGCGTGTTAATTCTGGGGCGTGTTAACTCCTCGCGCGTGTTAATTCTCCAAATATGTAAGGCCTCCAGAGTGAGGAGTTTCTGTATGTTACTTGATTGATCTATAATCTCAGACTTAAGCTCAGCGCTCTTACCATCCCTGTCACATTCTCTCAAATGTTGCCCTACTGGCGAATCTTCCTTGTGATGCTCTTCAATCCGCGTGGTCAAATGCCGGACCGTTTGTCCAACATAGGTGGAATTACATCCACTACATGTGAGCTTGTAGACCACTCTGGATTTCAAATCTTTCGCAAAGGGAGATTTAAGGGACGGTAGGCAAGTCTTGAGCTTTCTCGTAGTAAATATCACTTGGGCTCCGGCGTTTTGACGCAGTTTGGCAGCAAACCACTCGATGCCTTACCCCGGTATTGTAATGTTATAATGGGTGCACTGACCTTTAAAGGATCTACCTTGACTGATGTTACCGTTGTTCGTGTGTCAGTTTTTCGGTCGATGATCTTATTCAACGTTCTTAATACGACACCATCTGACCATTTTTCAGGGTATTGAACATCCACCCATTGTTCTTTATTAATCTTCATTGCCTTGTCAAAGTTTTCCCATGTTGATGTACTTCTAAAAATCCGATGAACAGTACCCTCAACTACATTGCGTTTATATTGCAATGGAGCGCAGCTTCTGAAGTTAAGGATAGTCCCAGTATCCGTTGGTTTTTGATACCATCCACATGTTACCTTTTTTCGTGAGTCCACATTAATGTTCAAATCTAGAAAGGCTAAGTCTCCGTTCGAATCCGGATTTTCGATAGTGAATTGTAAGTTGGGGTGGAGCTCATTAGCTGCTTTTAACACTATATCTGGATCCCCCTTTACCGTCCTCACTATATCATCTGCATATCTTAGGAACGCTTTGACATTTTCTGTTGGTTTTTCTTGATCTCGCTGCTCTTTACATCTCTTACAATACCAAACCATTTCTGAGATTTGCTCATATTCTTTGTCGGATACATTACTACACTTTAAATGGTACCAATTTAAACAAGCTTCGCATTCGATCCCCTTACTTCTGTATGTTACCCTCCGCTCGCAATCCCTCCCTATCCCTCCGCTATAAAAAAAAATTTTATATCCTGACGATGCACAAAATGTGCGAAAACGTTTGAATTAACAATTTAAAAAAATACTTATTCTACTTTTTGTTAAATTTTGGAAAAAAAAATAACCTCGCCGAAGAGTGAATGAAACTATTTAATAATGATGTATTTATATAATGCTGGTATGGGCCCTAGCCAGCTTGTGCACGACCTTACCTAAAAGGAAGGGCCCCTTTTATAATTTACTATTAAGGAAAAATTTAAGTCTTTTCTGAAAAGTCTCGCAGTTTTGAAAACAATTGTAGCACATCGGCGGTTTTCTGACAAAATTCGCTTCGGATATCGTAGTCGCCGAGAAGCAAAAACACCCAAGCCACTTTTGGCTGACAAGAACTGCATGCAAAAAACTTTATTGGATAAAGTTAAAATTGGATAACGAATTGGAGCATGTGTTGAAAATTTGTTCGCCCGTTAGTTAAAAAATCAGTTTTCATGTTCTTCTACGGGAGCTTGCTACTATTTCTATATATGAGCTAATCAGTAAGTTTATGTTTTAGATTTGCTAATGACAGATCGAAAAGTGTGCATATTTTGCACCAACGAAACTGACGATAGGCTTGGAGAACTTCTTTCGAAGGAAAACATAAATGTTCATGCCCATTGCCTCTATGCAGCAACGGATCTTGGTCAACATGGAAGCTCCGACAATGATGGAATTTTGGGGTTCTGGCTGGAAGATATCCGACATGTTTTTGAAAAATCGCGAAGTGATGATTGCGAGTACTGCTTCCGCCCTGGCGCTACTGTATTCTGCTCCGAGTGTCAGGTAGTGTTATATCAGTTTTGTATCGTTATCGCTGCATCTGGTGATTTATATACTTTTTGTTCTGTTCTGAAATAAAATTGATGCCCATTTGTCTTTGCTTTATAAATGTCCTGTGTACTGCTAAGCTCCGAAATCAAAAAATTGCTTTCGATTTTCAGGTAACTTGAATGATCAGATGGTACAAGAAGCAACCTTTCATGTTACCAAAGAACTGAATCGCATTGTCGAAGAAACCAAGGGAATAATGAAAAACTATCGTATAGTGTACTCTTAATTGGTTGAGATTGTAACTCCACGATAAAGGAGTTTATTATTCATATAAAAGGAAAACGTGTTTTAGATAAAATGCTATTTGTGTATTCGTTAAAAATAAGTTCAGCATATGACTACCCTTGTGGGTTTGGTGGGTGGACACGGCCTCAATGGTAAAGTATAACCTTCTGTTCACATAGTTTAATTCGAACCATCGCGCACATCGCGTCGCAATTTACAGTAATTAGGCATCTTGATTTTAGCTTGTCTGCAAGGATAAAATAAAACTCTATTTCAGAAAAAATTAAGGACCTAATTTGCCTCTGTCGCGAAATGCTCTAAATGTTTTCATTTTTTTTTCTTATTTTTCTATTTTATATTTTTCTTTTTTTATATAACTTTTTTTCCTCGCGAAGAAATTCTTATCGTACCGATAACTAATTACCACACAACTGCTGTCAGTAACAGTAGTTTTAGCAAAAGGACAGCCGCTTGTGGTTGTAGTTGCATAAGTTGTTCTGACCTCAGAATTCTTCTGAAAGAAAACAAAAAAAAACAAGGGTGGCCGGTTACTGTGCACAGAATGTTCCGACCAATCTTAAAAATACAAAAAAAAAAATTTCAAATCAGTGTCGTTTTTTCTGCGCGGTGTGATAAACAGATGTGAACAAAAAAAACTTAGGAATATGCAAAAATCATAGTAAAATAGCCCATTTGGCAAACAGTTTTTGTAGAGAAATGACCAGGAAAACGAAAAAAGGAATCTAATTTTTTTTCAAATAGTAGGAACAATTATTACACCAGTGTATTATTAGGAACCTTATTTTTTCCAGCGATAGTCGCGAATTTCAGTGCTACTTTTGGGGCACCTTTACAGCTTTTTGATGGCACGTGCTTTGATATTCGAATAGTAATAAGTTAACAGATTTGGTGCATTTCTATTTCATCAAATGAAACGAAAAAAGCTATTTGTTTCAAACAACATCAATAATAAAAACTTGATTTTAAGAATTTTTCTAACTCAATATAAATTCTGCAATTTTTTGAAATGCAGAATTTATGCATAATGTGGCTTGATGCTTTGCGCTTTGTTACCTGCAAAGTTAGTGTGGATTTCTTTAATTTGCTATATTCCATTTAGTACTTGCAAAATTGTGTCTATTTGTAGTTGGTGACACTTTTGCTAATAGCATTGGCAATTTATTAGCATATGTACCTGCTTTATTCGTGACTAGTGTTTGTCGGTGGCTAAGCGTTCGTGGCTGATCGAATCATAGATCTAGCTGATTTTTTTTCATTCGAGGCTTATTTCTATTTTTTCTTGCATTTTCTAGAGCTGCTTTTAGTCGTATTCTCGCTAATGTTTGCGAAGCGACGCTTCGCCTCTGTGTTAAAAACTACAATGAAATAATTTTAGGCGGAGGAAGCGTGTTTGATTACAAGGTAGTTTGAAAAAATGAGATGATTATAGCTGAAGTAAAGTAGTGCTTTAATAGGTACCACACTTGAGCCCCTATATCCTTGGGCTACCTAAAATCGAACGAAAAAAGCGCAACTTAGAGCTTAGTTCCTTCATAACCTTAGGGTGGTTGCCACAAACAAATAATTACTCCAGAAACCACGATAAGAAACCAGAAACCACGATAACGTCGTCTGGTTTGAATCACACGGAAGCACCAGCTCCTGTGAGGTTCCAGGAACCTTGTAAAGTATATCTGTCAATGCAGTGACTTTATTCTTCCGCGTACGCGGTAACTTTTACATGTAGACTCGAACTGTCGAATGATTTGTTGATTTCCAGTGTCCTCAGAAATTTTGATTCGAATCAAGTGTTATGCAAAGTGAAGAAAATGTCTTGGCATGACCTGTTAAATTATAAATGAAATTCGCTTATGTTTTGTTTGCAGGTCAAATTCCACTACCCTTGTGGAAAAGAGAATCTCTGCATCACAGAGCTATTTGGGGAATTCCAAAGTTTCTGCCCAGACCACAGATCTCAGCAGAAATTACCAGTGTCCTTCTCTAGCGAGTGTCCCTTCTGCGATGAAATGTGTGATCCCATGGACTCTTTTTTCCTAGCATGCTGCAACAAATCATGGGTGCATACGAAGTGCGCACAGCTGCAGGCCGATAAGACTGGGATCGACTCCTCGACATGTCCTAACTGTAGAAACAAAGAAGACTACATAGCCTCGTGTCAGAAGTTTGGAGGTGTGCTTCTTAGAATAAATTTGGATAAAGAAGAAGACATGTTGAAAATTACGCCTAACGAGTGCAGCAGACAGAAATGTTGTTGTCCTTATGGAACTCATTTTAGTGATGACCATAGATTCCGATTTTTCCTGTGCACCTTTTGTAACATGTACAAGATCCATCAAAGTTGTCGAGAAGCGAAGGATTTTCCAGACTTCAAGTGCATACTGTGTCAGAAAGGTAAAACGGGGCAGGCCAGATTCAGCGTGAAAAAGAGTGGCGGACAAGCAAGCGTCAGGATGGAGCCAGAAGCTATTATAGATGGACCCAGTGTTAAAGAAGAAAGCGATGTAAAGAATGAAAGAGACGAAGATGAATCAAGCGAGAAATTCAGAAAGCGTTCACCCAGAAAACAAAGATCAACAAGGTCTAGAGAGGAAGTGGGATTCGATGCAGAGTTCAGTGATATATCATCTGGTGATGACGAAACAGCCTTTGAAAAAGAGGAGCGAGAGAGCACTAGAGCGAGAAGACGTCGAGAAAAGGCAGAAGACGAGGATGGCGATGATAGAGTAATGGTGGAAGGCAAACATGAGATATCAAAACCAGCTGTAAATGCCTTTCATCCAGCTATTAGAGATCTGACAAAACCTCCCCGGGGTACGAAGTTTACGACAAAGAGAAACCTGGCACAGGGCAAGTTCGTTCCCAGACCGGCTCAAGATGGAATGCAGCAAAAAAGAGAGCCAATGAATTTGGTCAAACTGGATCCTCAAACTATTCTTAGCCTTGCTTCGTCGGGTAATCCAGCTAACATCGAGAAAGCTGACCAGCTTTTACAGCAGTTGACTAGCCGTTTTGGGGGATCCAGTTATTCGTTAAATAAAACTACAGTTATGTTGACCCCTGGAGTAGGCGAGAGTCACGTTAGCAACAATGATTTTGGCGGAGGACATAATCAGCAGCATCATCAACAGCAGCATGGCTTTCACCAAAATTACGACGATAAGCATAATCGAAGCAGAGAAAGGTTCCAACCACGTAAAGCGAACTGGGGAAAGTTTGACAACCGAAGAGATTACAGGGATAACAACAGAAATCCTGGAAATGATCGTTATCACAGACATCAGCAGCAACTACGAGGAAGAAACGATAGCAATGACCGAAGTCACCACAGGTCTCGAGATTTTGATAGGAAAGGCGGCGACTTTTCTAGAGGTAAAGGTCATAGGTACGACTCAAGCCGAAGTAGACGTTACGAGCAGTATAACAATGCTGGCCCTGAAAACTCACCGTCAAAAGAAAAACCAAATTTGACTCATGTCCCAAAATCGTTAGTTGAAAACGTATACAGAGATATAGAGAATGAGAAAACAGCCAGAGTCGTAGCAGAAGAGAAGGCTAGAAATGATGCATTAGACGCGAAAAAGCGAATCGAAGAAGAACTGAGGAAGATCCAAGAAGAAGAGGACGCAAAGAGAAAAGAAAAAGAGCAAAAGAAAGCGGCGACGACATCTTCATCGGGAGGCTGGAAACCGCTCGGGGATAGAGCCAACGGGGGAGGAACCAAAGATGACGAACCAGAGGAGGGAGAAGCGGAGGCCTCAAGCGACGATGAGTCGTCATCCAGTTCGTCTAGTTCCGATTCCGAGTCGTCGTCGGATACCGAGAAGAAGAGCCAAGGCGGTGAAGAGAATCTTGACGAGAACGACAAGCGGCCTGACATTTCGAAGCTGTTGGAGTTTGAACCGGAAGTTGAGCTGACTGAAGAGGAGCATTTGTTTAATTTGCAGAAGTTTAGCGAATTGGGAAATGAGTACAAGAAGCGATTCCGTGCCTTGGAAGACGGAATAAGGAAATTGCATACAGATGTTGTATTTTACGCGGAAAGATGTGACCAAGACATGATCCAAGGAGTTCAATCTCAGTGCAATTTGTATCTCCTCGAAATCAATAGACTCTTCCAGCTATGCAAACAAATGAAAAATTTTGCCACAGCCGAAGGAACCAAAAACCAAGTGAACACATTTGTAGTACGCGTCGGGGACGCTGAGAACGAATTGAAAACGAATCGAGGAATCGTGGACGAGTTTGCACAATTGATAGAGAAGATAACGATTCTAGAAGAGCTACTTGTTGAGCAAATTAAGGAAGAGGCTCTGATCGTAGAACCCATTATGCAAGCAAATGACCTGAGAACTCAGCCGCGGACGTTGCTCGAAAAGGTTCGCACCGAAGTTGAAACTGCGTTAGCAGAGTCCAGTGAAAATCCAAAGTCTTTGCATCGGAATTACGAACAGTTTGTGAACAAATTGAACAGTATGTTGCGAAATGCTGACGTGAAGTCTGATAAAGTGGCATCATTAGAGTCATCTGTTATGGAACACCAAGAGAATCTCGGAAAACATCTGAAAGAACTCAGATCTGAACTGAATGACCGAAACAATTTGAGAAATTTTATAGACGAAATTGCAAAGCTGTTGACGGCGAACAAAACTACAGCCGAACACATTGAGCAGACTAAAAGTCACCCAGATAGAGCTATGTCCTGTATCCAAGGACTAAGGAAGGAGTACAAACGTCTGCAAAAAGGCATCGATAAATACCGAGTGAAGTATTCAAGTTTAAGCTTGGAATTACCTGATGGAGCTGAAGATTTGTTGAACAATTTGAAGGAAACGAAAGCCAAACTTGAAATCGAGCTTGAAGCGTTGATTACAAAATGCGAAGGATGGAAGAAAGAAGCAGTTCCTTTGCTAGATAGGAGAATGATGCTGAACAATAACGAGCAAAAACAAGAGGAACTCATGGAGAAGAAAAAGGGCTTCGGTTTCCACTTGAAATTATCAGACCAGACTCAAAAAGTGATCAAAGACGGGAACCAGTTGCTGAAAGCTCAGATTTTGAACAATGAGAAAGAAGGTTCTGATTCGTCCGACAACGAAGAAAACTCAGACAATAAAAGCGAAGAAGATGATTTGAGTACAAAGATCCCAGAATACATGAAGCCCTTGCCTAAATTGGAACAGACGCCTCAGCCGATAATGCCTCCTCCCATTAATTCAGTCGCTACAAGCGTCCCGAATGGAATGCCGATGCCTCCAGTTCCTCCGCAAATGCCGATGCCACCTAATTTTCCTTTCATGGGAATGCAAGGCTCGCCCATGTTTCCACCGAACATGCAAATGCCTCCCTATATGCCTCAGCCTCCGCAATTTCCAGGGTTCCCGGGACAACACCAAGGCATGCCCATGCAATATGCGCAGATGCAGAATCCCTACATGCAAATGCAGCAGCCTGCTTTTTCAGCTCCGCCGAACTTGATCCAAGCGCAGCCAATGCATTATGGGCAGCAAATGACTATGCCAAACACGGTTCAAGCAGCTGTGACTGGTCAGCCCACAGTATCCCAAGGAAATATAGAAGGGGTTAATGTGTCAATGGCAAATATGCCAGATATGAGTTTAATAGAAGCGGCAGCTAAAGCTCTGGAAAATGTCGCACCAGATACAAATGATGATACGCAGAAGCCAGAGAAGAGATCGAAGTCAGAAAAGAAAACCAAGAAGAAAAAGAAAGTTGAAAGTTCGGACAGTGAAATCGAAACCGTGAATACGTTTCCAAAAGCAGAAGATTTAGTCATGCCCAAGTTGACCAAGAAAGGAAAAGAGATTGTTAACGAATCAGTTGAAAGTTCGAGAAACAACTCAGACACTGAAGCCCTTGAAAGCGGAGAAAAAGCATTTTCGAAGAAGGCATTGAAAGATAAACGTCGAAAGGACAGAAAGAACGCGGTGATAAGCGAAGTTGCTCCGCCACAACCCTCTGAAACCACTGAAGAGGAATCTAAAAAGCTTAGTGCCTTCAGCTATGCTGCTGCAATCGTTGGGCTAGAGAGTTCAGTTCTGGATAGCGAAGATACTTATGATCCAACGGCTCCAACCATCGAGAACTATAGCCATGCTGTAGATACCAATTCGTATGAAGTTGTGTACAGACCTGAGAAAGGAGATTTTGTCCTTGTTCAGAAGAACTCGGAAGCGGCTGCAAGTGCGCATGCAGAACAGAAACAAGTCACCGAATCAATAGAAGCTGCACAGAAAGCGGAAGAAGAAGAAACGGAAGAGCAGGCTAAGATACGAGAGCAGAAAGCGCAGGAAAAAAGGGAACGACGCAAAGCTGCCCGGGAGGCGGCCAAGCGTGAACGAGAAATAGAACGTGAAGAGGAAGCCAAGTCAGGCGTCAAGAAGTCCTCGCGACGCTTGGGAACCCTCACTGGTATGTTATCTTTGTTATCAGAAGCTGAGAAACAAGAGCAAGAAACGAAAGTTCAAAAAGAACGGGAATCGAAAGAAGCAGAGAAAGTGGAACCGATTACCTGCATTCACATTACCCAAAATGATGGTATAGCTAAAAGAGAAAGTCCACAAGAGGTCAATTCCACAACGATGTCGCCTCCTGTAAAGCAAACTAATGAAACTGTGGCTGCATTGAGTTCGGTTTCGCCTGCTAGCTCAGATAAAGTGACCAGTTCTCAACCGGGATTTGCACCGACGATGCAGTTAGTCGAAGCAGGAAAGACAGAGTCGAGCGCCGAAGAGGGAGAGCTGGAGGAGGATGGCGAAGTGAACAGTGACGAAGAAAAGGACCAGAATCAACCGAGAGTTGTATTCGATGAGCCACAAAAAGCGAGACCAGTTCAGGACGAGAAGATTGACAGCAATGTTTGCGTTCCTGTATGCTTTTCTCAAGAAGAACCAACTTCTACCATTTCAGATGAGGCACTCGCAAAGTCCAATTTGAGTGTCAGTACAAAAAGTGTAGTCACCGTCCAACAAGCAGTAATTCCAGCCGGTGAGACTAAAAATCAAGGTCACACTATCAGCTTTGATGACGACGAAGATGATAACGAAGAAAATTCGGCGACTTCGGACGAAGGACAACCTAGCCTGGTTCCATCGAAAAGTCTGAAAGCTAAGAAAGTGGCAAGTTTGGTACCACCGCCTCCACCAGTCCAAAGGAAGCGGAAAAAGAAAGACCAGAAAGAGACGTCAGCTGAGAGTCCAGAAAGTAGTGACAGTGACAGCGATAATGAAGATGACTCTTCAAGTTCATCAGATGAAGCGCCTCAACTGACCAAGAAAGAGATGAAGAAAATGATGAAGTTCTATGCCATGTTTCAAAAGTCGAAGAGCAAAAAGAAAAGCAAGAAAAAGAGAAAGGCCGAATCATCAAGCGAAGAGGGAAGTTCAGAAGAAGAGACACCGAAGAAACGAAAGCGTCGCTTGTCCAAAGCAAAAGCAGTCGAAGAATCTGATTCAGATAGTTCTTCAGAGGATGCGAGTCCATCTAAGAAAAAAGCAAAATTGAAAAATAGAAAAACGGCAAAAGTTTCACCTCCAAAAAAGCAATCATCGCCCTTTAAAATTTCTCCTAAGTCCAAGACTCCTCCCAGTCAGACATCTGCCAACAAAGCTCAGGGATGGAAGCCTCAAGTAGAGCAAAATGACGATTCAGATGAAATAAACATGTCCTCGTTTTTCACCCAGGAGTGCTCTAGTACAGGTGAGTACCAATCAATCAGCGGTTCCAAGAGTCAAACAGGTATGAGTTTGAGTCCAGTTGCTTTGAGTGTTGATGCAATTCTAGCAAAGTTTTTACCAGAATACAAATCAATCGACTCGGATCCTCCTCTGGCTGCTTTGAGTCGCCACTTCTCTCATTTCTGGGAGTACTTTAACATCGTGTCAGACAAAGATGCGGCACTGGCTCGTCAGATGGCCATTGGGTTGCTAGAAGGAGCCAATGGGTTTTCAAAGGCAGAGACGAAACCAGTTTCGATGCAAACTCAAATGCTGTTGACGATGTTGAAGAATATGAAAACGTGGTGAAGGCTTTTTAACCAAAATTCTATCAAAGTTGAGAATGACAACCTACTAGCTGTACCTTCTTGAAGCATTTCACAAAAATGCATTGCATTTTTATATCACAGTTATCACAGAAAAAAAAACTGTTAAAGACGAAGTTTATGTATTCAGTACAGAAACTGATGTCGCTCATTTTGTCGTTTGAATGATGTATCTTTGTTGGTTTAAACGTTTCGAAGGTAGTTTTGTAATTAACTGGTTGGGTTATTCCTTGACCCGGTAAAGTTCAAGTTGTCGTTTTGTTATATAAAGAAGAATTTATTTTCCCTCACAATTCTAGTTTTCAAAGATGACGACTGAAAAATATTAATTAAACAGACTTGGCTAGAAAATAATTTTCTCCTTTGTGCCAACCAGTTGATTTTGTCTGAGGCTAATGAGGCAAGGGATGTAGGCGGTACCTCTAATCTCAACAGTCTAAAATGTAGTACTAAGGAGCAACGGGGTAACGTGGACGGGCTTCTAGCCTTAGATCCTCTGCGATTCACAGAGCTCAAAATAAGAATGTCGATTTTAAGCCGAAAGACTCCTTAAATTTACATCTTTGAAATAAAAGCTTCGAACATATGCAATTATGCGATAAAATACCTAGCAATGAAACTAAACTGTTAAGTCTTGAGTATGAAATGTGAGGGCTTAAAGTTTTTTCAGAGGGCGTAAATACGTAATGTCACTGGATGTGGTACATAGTTGCGAGGAAAAATACTAAGTTCGTTTCAGTTGTTGATACAAAACAGAAGCAAGAGCATGAATAATTAATCATTAGGGTAATTGCCGAAATGCATAGAATTTTAGTGGTGTAATAAAAAATACTTCAGATTAGTCTTCATTCTACACATTTTAGGCGAGGTAGTAGCATATTTTGATTTGTTTCGACTCATTTGTCTCAAATTGTGCCTGAAAATTCTCGTGATTGACAATTCATGACATGAACAGCAGCTGATCGAGTTCGAAACTCTGCATTCAGTGCGTGAATGTTTTCTCTAACTACCGCTCGTACTCAATGCAGGCTTTTATATCGAAATCGAAAAGCAAATAATGTGAAATAGCTTGAGCTAACGTTTACATTGTGTAAATTCAATAGAGGAATATGATTGAGAAATCAAATTGAAAAAAGTTATCGCTGTTTGAATAGTTTTGTGAAATGGGCGTCATCAAGTGCAAGTCATCACGTGTAATAAAAAGTACTTGAGAATCTTCTTTATACACATCTTGGGTCAGGTAGTAGCATAATTTGTTTTTTTTCCGGCTCATTTGTCTCAAGTTGTGATAGAAAATTCTCGTGATTGACGATTCATGACATGAATAGCAGCTGATCGAGTTGGAAAGTCTGCATTCAGTGCGTGAATGCTTTTTCTAAATACCGCTTCAACTCAATGCAGGCTTTTATATCGAAATCGAAAAGCAAATAATGTGAAATAGCTTGAGCTAACGTTTACATTGTGTAAATTCAATAAAGGAATATGATTGAGAAATTAAATTCAAAGAATTTATCGCGCTGAGTTTGAATAGTTTTGTGAAATGGTGGTCATCACGTGCAAGTCATCACGTAGGAAAAAATACTTCAGATTATTCTTCATTTATACAAATTTTGGGCTTGGTAGTAGCATAGTTTGATCTTGTTTTCGACTCACTTGTCTCAAGTTGTTATTGAAATTTCTCGTGATTGACGATTCATGACATGAATAGCAGCTGATCGAGTTCGGAAGTCTGCATTCAGTGCGTGAATGTTTTTTCCAACTACCGCTCGTACTCAATGCAGGCTTTTATATCGAAATCGAAAAGCAAATAATGTGAAATAGCTTGAGCTAACGTTTACATTGTGTAAATTCAATAAAGGAATATGATTGAGAAATTAAATTCAAAGAATTTATCGCGCTGAGTTTGAATAGTTTTGTGAAATGGTGGTCATCACGTGCAAGTCATCACGTATGAAAAAAATACTTCAGATTATTCTTCGTTTATACAAATTTTGGGCTTGCTAGTAGCATAGTTTGATCTTGTTTTCGCCTCACTTGTCTCAAGTTGTTAATGAAATTTCTCGTGATTGACGATTCATGACATGAATAGCAGCTGATCGAGTTCGGAAGTCTGCATTCAGTGCGTGAATGTTTTTTTACAACTACCGCTCGTACTCAATGCAGGCTTTTATATCGAAATCGAAAAGCAAATAATGTGAAATAGCTTGAGCTAACGTTTACATTGTGTAAATTCAATAGAGGAATATGATTGAGAAATCAAATTGAAAAAAGTTATCGCTGTTTGAATAGTTTTGTGAAATGGGCGTCATCAAGTGCAAGTCATCACGTGTAATAAAAAGTACTTGAGAATCTTCTTTATACACATCTTGGGTCAGGTAGTAGCATAATTTGTTTTTTTTCCGGCTCATTTGTCTCAAGTTGTGATAGAAAATTCTCGTGATTGACGATTCATGACATGAATAGCAGCTGATCGAGTTGGAAAGTCTGCATTCAGTGCGTGAATGCTTTTTCTAAATACCGCTTCAACTCAATGCAGGCTTTTATATCGAAATCGAAAAGCAAATAATGTGAAATAGCTTGAGCTAACGTTTACATTGTGTAAATTCAATAAAGGAATATGATTGAGAAATTAAATTCAAAGAATTTATCGCGCTGAGTTTGAATAGTTTTGTGAAATGGTGGTCATCACGTGCAAGTCATCACGTAGGAAAAAATACTTCAGATTATTCTTCATTTATACAAATTTTGGGCTTGGTAGTAGCATAGTTTGATCTTGTTTTCGACTCACTTGTCTCAAGTTGTTATTGAAATTTCTCGTGATTGACGATTCATGACATGAATAGCAGCTGATCGAGTTCGGAAGTCTGCATTCAGTGCGTGAATGTTTTTTCCAACTACCGCTCGTACTCAATGCAGGCTTTTATATCGAAATCGAAAAGCAAATAATGTGAAATAGCTTGAGCTAACGTTTACATTGTGTAAATTCAATAAAGGAATATGATTGAGAAATTAAATTCAAAGAATTTATCGCGCTGAGTTTGAATAGTTTTGTGAAATGGTGGTCATCACGTGCAAGTCATCACGTATGAAAAAAATACTTCAGATTATTCTTCGTTTATACAAATTTTGGGCTTGCTAGTAGCATAGTTTGATCTTGTTTTCGCCTCACTTGTCTCAAGTTGTTAATGAAATTTCTCGTGATTGACGATTCATGACATGAATAGCAGCTGATCGAGTTCGGAAGTCTGCATTCAGTGCGTGAATGTTTTTTTACAACTACCGCTCGTACTCAATGCAGGCTTTTATATCGAAATCGAAAAGCAAATAATGTGAAATAGCTTGAGCTAACGTTTACATTGTGTAAATTCAATAAAGGAATATGCTTGAGAAGTTAAATTCAAAGAAGTTATCGCGCTGAGTTTGAATAGTTTTGTGAAATGGTGGTCATCACGTGCAAGTCATCACGTATGAAAAAAATACTTAAGATTATTCTTCATTTATACAAATTTTGGGCTTGGTAGTAGCATAGTTTGATCTTGCTTTCGACTCACTTGTCTCAAGTTGTTATTGAAATTTCTCGTGATTGACGATTCATGACATGAATAGCAGCTGATCGAGTTCGGAAGTCTGCATTCAGTGCGTGAATGTTTTTTCCAACTACCGCTCGTACTCAATGCAGGCTTTTATATCGAAATCGAAAAGCAAATAATGTGAAATAGCTTGAGCTAACGTTTACATTGTGTAAATTCAATAAAGGAATATGATTGAGAAATTAAATTCAAAGAAGTTATCGCGCTGAGTTTGAATAGTTTTGTGAAATGGTGGTCATCACGTGCAAGTCATCACGTATGAAAAAAATACTTCAGATTATTCTTCATTTATACAAATTTTGGGCTTGGTAGTAGCATAGTTTGATCTTGTTTTCGACTCACTTGTCTCAAGTTGTTAATGAAATTTCTCGTGATTGACGATTCATGACATGAATAGCAGCTGATCGAGCTCGGAAGTCTGCATTCAGTGCGTGAATGTTTTTTTACAACTACCGCTCGTACTCAATGCAGGATTTTATATCGAAATCGAAAAGCAAATAATGTGAAATAGCTTGAGCTAACGTTTACATTGTGTAAATTCAATAAAGGAATATGATTAAGAAATTAAATTCAAAGAAATTATCGCGCTGAGTTTGAATATTTTTGTGAAATGGTGGTCATCACGTGCAAGTCATCACGTATGAAAAAAATACTTAAGATTATTCTTCATTTATACAAATTTTGGTCTTGGTAGTAGCATAGTTTGATCTTGTTTTCGACTCACTTGTCTCAAGTTGTTATTGAAATTTCTCGTGATTGACAATTCATGACATGAATAGCAGCTGATCGAGTTCGGAAGTCTGTATTCAGTGCGTGAATGTTTTTTCCAACTACCGCTCGTACTCAATGCAGGCTTTTATATCGAAATCGAAAAGCAAATAATTTGAAATAGCTTGAGCTAATGTTTACAATGTGTAAATTCAATAAAGGAATACGATTGAGAAATGAAATTCAAAGAAGTGATCGCGCTGATTTGAATAGTTTTGTGAAATGGTGGTCATCACGTGCAAGTCATCACGTATGAAAAAAATACTTCAGATTATTCTTCATTTATACAAATTTTGGGCTTGCTAGTAGCATAGTTTGATCTTGTTTTCGCCTCACTTGTCTCAAGTTGTTAATGAAATTTCTCTTGATTGACGATTCATGACATGAATAGCAGCTGATCGAGTTCGGAAGTCTGCATTCAGTGCGTGAATGTTTTTTCCAACTACCGCTCGTACTCAATGCAGGCTTTTATATCGAAATCGAAAAGCAAATAATGTGAAATAGCTTGAGCTAATGTTTACAATGTGTAAATTCAATAAAGGAATATGATTGAGAAATGAAATTCAAAGAAGTGATCGCGCTGATTTGAATAGTTTTGTGAAATGGTGGTCATCACGTGCAAGTCATCACGTATGAAAAAAATACTTCAGATTATTCTTCATTTATACAAATTTTGGGCTTGGTAGTAGCATAGTTTGATCTTGTTTTCGACTCACTTGTCTCAAGTTGTTAATGAAATTTCTCGTGATTGACGATTCATGACATGAATAGCAGCTGATCGAGCTCGGAAGTCTGCATTCAGTGCGTGAATGTTTTTTTACAACTACCGCTCGTACTCAATGCAGGATTTTATATCGAAATCGAAAAGCAAATAATGTGAAATAGCTTGAGCTAACGTTTACATTGTGTAAATTCAATAAAGGAATATGATTAAG